CACATAGAATGTTAAATGCTAAAATGGTCAAAATCAATCCATGTAAGGGACCCAGGAGGCTGGATTTGCATAAACATCATACATAAATATGCAATGACTTGCCTCTCAAAATAACAGATTGCATATTAAAAAAGTATGACACCTCATCTTCACAAATGATTCCTGTCATGGAAGCAACATTTGATGGATGATGAATTAAAAAACATTGAAGTTCGACAGTCTGTAGGCTTTTGCTGTGTTTAAAAACCCAAGAAATGTCTGTCCCCTCCAACAGTTTTAGCTTAATATAAAACATTTACAAAGTGTTTTAACTAAGAAAGGAACAGATGACTCATTCTACAGTCACATATCTTCTGTATGTTTTATTACAGTATGTTTAAACACTGCTCCCTACGGCCTCATTTCCTTCAGATTCGCTCCTCTATTCAAACAATCACATAGGGCTCGGTGAATGGAAAATAATATCCTTATGCCTTCATTCAGAGTGTTCATAGAAGCACATGCTGTCCCTCTTCCTTTTTCTAGAGAGGATATTACCTGCATGAAAAGTGAAAGGAAAGACGACAGCTTTTCAAGAACTTAACGCTCTTTTAACCGCTGGCAGATATGTCTGTCTTCATCCCACAAATATTAAAGCTTCAAACAAAATGTCATGCAGAAAATGTTGCTGCTGCATTTTAATTTGTAAATAAAATTCAGTTAAAGAACTTTGTGTGTTGGAATACAATTGCCTCTAACAGCCATCCTTATTGCTGATTTAAGACAATTGAGCATAGACCTCTTGCCGCCCCAAAATAAATGTGTATAAAGAATTTCAGTTTGAGCAGTTTTCCTGATATGTTCTTGTGACCCGGTTGTTTGCTTTGTAAACAACATCAGGCCAAACTTCCCACGTGTTGACAATAAGTATAAGCATATTCATGATCTCCCCAAATATGCACATTTCTGCTTTGCATGAGCTTTACTCTAAAGCCGCTGTCAGGGCAAATATTATAATTTCATCCCCACTACTAGTTTTAATTCCAGAATTGAAAATGTGTCTTGTTGCCACAGTAACAAAAAGCAAGAAATCGTGTGCAGAGGATCTAACGAGGCTGCTCCAACTTTTTTTTATTCTGTTTTTATTTTAGTCACATTTTGTGCCATAATGTTTTGTCAGGTGTAATATGTAGATACACTGTAGACTCTTCTGCATTTCCCTACAGGTATTAATAAAGGCTTATATTATCTTAGAATGACCCAATGTGTTTATCTTTTACTAATGTGCACATCTCGTGGATATGTCTGCAAAATATGAAGTGTTTGATTAACCTCTTGTCAAGTAGTTTTGTATTATTTTTGGAGCATTTTTGATTGAAAGCATTCTACTTTCTAAATGGATGCTTTAGCAGTCTATACTTCATGCAGTACATGTGTTTGAGTGGATTTAAGGACACACACACACACACACACACACACACACACACACACACACACACACACACACACACACACACACACAAGTGTTCACATACAGCAAGCTAGCAGATCCTGTCTGGCAGCACCCGACAAAACACCTGCTGACCTTTACTTTTCTGTCTCTCAACTGACCTCCATCTGCTTCCTTTAGGTGACGTGGTGTGTGTGTGTGTGTGTGTGTGTGTGTGTGTGTGTGTGTGTGTGTGTGTGTGTGTGTGTGTGTGTGTGTGTGTGTGTGTGTGTGTGTGTGTGTGTGTGTGTGAAGTTTGGAAAAGGTTGACACACTGTGATTATGTGTGTGTCCACCCTGTGTGTGTGTAAGCTGCCTTGTAATGCCAGCTCAGTCATTAAAGTGGCGCTGCCACAGCGGATCTTGCCGCAGCAGAATGACTGCAGGTCCTCTCGAGTAAAACAATCTCGCCTCGGTATTCACATTGTTTCAGCCAGCTGCTCCTCCAGCGACTCAGGTGAATCCAGGTGAAACCTTAAATCCCACGGCAATTTCAACCATCAACACTGCTTCGGCCATGAAGGTTAGGTTTTTGATGAGAGCAGTGATCCCTGCCATTTCCTGGCATTGGGCTCAAAACGAAAATAACGCCGGGATGCTGGTTTCATTGTGGCTTTTTATTTCAGATATTCACAGAACATTGCAAACTATAAAACAGTCCCCTCATATGGCTCCTGGGAGTTGTGTACAATCTACAGTATGTGCAAGTTGAACAAAGTCCACCTCAGGCATTTACTGTATGCGTGGAGAAAATGACTTCATTCAAAAGCCAACTGCTTTGTTTTTTCTGACACTCTGTTACCTACAGCATGTGTTAAGCCATGGTGGCTATGGCAACCATCCACCTTTTTCTATACAGTATCCTCTTCACTCTTAGTGTTGCTGCTGTACTGTAAAATAGTACAGGTCTATGCATCAGAGATAATATGGAGATACCAACTATCCTTAAATACACATTTACATACACAAATGGGGTGAAGCCTGCGAGCTAGCTCAGGCAGTCAACTCGAGCACTTATGCTGCATTCATACATAACGCACCTTGCCACTCTACAACCAACCAAACAGAGTCTCCTTGATAAGCCGCTCTATTGAACCTGCCAGATATCTCTCTATGCATTGCTTGCTGCTGCTTTTGCTGCAGCTACTTCCACGTCTCTGCTGCTTGCCCCACCACCACCCCAGCTTCCACCCCAGCTTCCACCTGTAGGCTCGGGGGGTTAGATATTTAATCATCATTCATCGTGCTATGTATATCTGTGGGGTGATGAGGCCAGAGCCTAGACGCCAAACTCAACTATATGCTGCTTCTAATAAACATGTTAAAGAAACACGTGAGTTGTCTGACTGAACTACATTGTGTAATAGCCACGTAAGTCAATAATCTAAAATAAAAGCAGGCTTGAAATAAGTAGCAGCAATTAAAATAACAGACTGACTTGAGTCGTGCTCTCTTTCTCTACTCCGTTCCAAGGAGCAATATATTGCAATGTAAATTTGAACACATTTATCCACAGGTAAATATGTTAATTATACATATCTAAATATTTCCCTCTGAGCTTAGAGTGGAGTGTGGGCTGGCAGGCTATGCACTATTCATCAGAGTAAGCAGCGAGGTGCTTATCAGGATTAAGGCAGCCAGGATGCAACGCATGGATTTAAAAATGTCTTTGATGTTGCATGAATGTATGAATCTTCTATTTGTGTGTTTTTATGTCTACTCTTTAGAAGCACCTGCTGTAAAATCTAAAAGAAATCTATCACAATCCTTTAAACCTTTTTTCCTTTAGCCTTGGTTTCAGATATAGCGAAATGTTGGCTCATGTCAGAGGAGAGGTATCCACACCTGCAAATGCAATATGTCTCAGATACCCATTTATGATCAGATGTAGCTTCAACACTCTCCACGTTGTATCTGTGGAACCATGTAACAGCTGCCAAACCAAAAATAGATTCCCGCACTGTGCCATAGAGAAAGGGATTGTATGGCTATTTGCATACTGTATAAAAAGTACACACAAAGAGAGACAAAAGATTGGACACAAAAGTGAAACAAGACCATGAAGAGAGAGGAGCTGAGAGAGAAAGAGAAAGATAGACAGGAAGTGGTGGAGAGAGAGGAAGAACATGGAGACTCGCCTCGGATAAGGAACGAGCTTAGGGAGGTTTGTCATGCAATAATTATACAGCATTTATTTTGTTCAGAGCATTCGAGGATGCCTTTGTGTTCACACAACACTTAATGTAGACAAATGGGAACTGACAATGCCAAATGTGACACGAGAGATCTGACACTGTCTTTACGGTGAATGTTGGGTTAGGGTTGTGCAATAAAAGCTTTTTTGGTTAAGGGCAGGGGAAGACCATAGATCTCCATGTTAATTGGCAGGTCTGAGACAGGCTTTCTGCCCCACAAACAGTCTTTGTTTCATCCACAAAGGTTATACCTGCCAGGAAAAAGGCTGTTATGGAATTTAAACGACCCACAAAATACATTTTGGACAATGTTAGCAGCATGGCTCAACAAATTGCAATGTTGGTCCGTGCACCACTTTGGTTCAAACAGAAAGATCTCCACAACTATTGGATGGATTACGATGGATTTGTATACTGATTGTTTGTTTGTATTTTGTTATTCAGTTGCACTTTGTGTTTAGTGCTAATTAGCAAATATTGCTATATGTACAGGAGATGAACATGGTAAACATTATATATATTATTTGAATCTCTTTTTTTTTTGTTGCTATTTGTGTTTATTTCCGAGATACAATTGGTCTCATGATCCTCTATTTCAATAGAGCCATAATGCTTTCATGTCTCTTCTTCTTCTTCATCGTCTTCTTCTCCTCAATGTCATTCCCTCATCTGCAGAGACGTAGCAAAACGTTTAAAAGTGTACCCACCATTGCACAGATGTTTTGTTTTCTCTCTGATTAGTCTGTCTCTTTCATTCCATGTAATCCAATTTAATTGGTTTCCTTCTTCTCCTCCAATCAGCATCCATCTATCCTCCAGTAGATCCCATGGAAATGTTTAATTGTTCTGAAATGTCTACAGTGAGCCGGACTAAATGACTCAGCAACCTTGTCATTAAGTCTTATTCCTTTTAGCTTCAGTTTCTTTGCAGTCATTCAAGGCCTTTTTTGTATTTCTTTTCACGGCAGCCAGACACATTCACAGTCTGGGTTTATTTTCTTTGATAGCTAAAGGCTGTTCATAATTGAGCCTTTTAGAAAAGTCGGGATAAAAACAACCCCTTTCTACCCAGGTCCTATTATGCCTGTTAGGATGTTTTCAAGTATCGGTTGATTTTGTGAAAGTGTGTGAGTTTTTGGAAGAGGAAGACGTTTTTTTGTCCACCACATTCAGCACATTTATCAATGAAAGACTGAAAATGTGATGTCGCTGTGCTACCACAATTGAACTTGCTCTCTGCTCAGACCAGAGGTGTTGTATCTGTTAAAGAAATGTGACTTCAGAGGTTATACTCAATATGCTAACGTGTGCTTCTCGTGTTTTAATCTGCTTTACAGAGCATGACAAGCACCGCCTATGCAAAAGTACTGAATACATGAATCTTCACTTCAAAGTCAAATGGTTCCATAATGAGTATGTTCGTGACCTGCCGGCCTTCAAGGGTGTTCCACCTGAGTATTCACTGTAAGTGTCCTCTCTTTTTCACACACATGTACATGCAGATATGAATTAACATGCATACACATTTACATTACTGTACGTACCAAAGTATGGAGCTTTTTAAGGTGAGACTGCAGCAATTATGTCAAAAATAAATTAATATAGGTGACAACACCTAACATTTCCGTGTTGATTTCTGATACTGATATTGCTCACATTTAACAAAACAAAGGAAAATTAATCCTACTATCATTGATAAAATGACAAAAGGAGGAACCCAAAGATTGATCCCTGCGGCACTCCATAGGAAACTGTTTTGTAGTGTAGCCTGAAAACATTCTCCATACCAAATTACTTTTTTACGTTTATGTCAATTTGACAATATGTAGTTTTTCTTTACATAATAATAATAATCCGTTTTTTGCACAGATTTGAATGTGCAGATGTTCCTTTTCTTTAGGTATGATAGTCCAAATCTCCAGAACCTCGTTTAAGTCTGAAGTAGCAATGTTTTTTCTTTAATCTGAAATCCTTTTCTAGTATCACAAAACAATACAGCTTTATTATTTAAAGCACTTTAAAACCTCCAGATGGTAGTGCTATAAAGAGAAATAAATAATTAAAATACAAAAATCACAGCTCAGCTTACAAACCGTAAAATAAGTAAAACTACAGATACAAAAATAAAACCAGCCATACAGTAAAAACAATAGACCATTTAAGAGCAATAAAAGCAGCAATCTACATCACAGGAACCATTGGCAGAACAATTATGTAATGGTCAACATTGCGAGTCCAATGCATGTAAGACAGTGAACCGTGGTAGTTGAAGCGTATCCTAAAATGTTTTGGATGAGGGGGACAAATGTACATCCTAAAAGCACTTTTGCGTTCTTCTTTTTCCGTGTAGCACTATGTTATAGTGTGCATACATAATCATGTGCAACAAAGCTGCAAATAGCTGCACTGTGAACATGTGTAATGCAGGCAGTGAACGCCAAGCCCTCTCCCATCCTGCCAGAATATCAGAGTAATAATTCACCCTCCCCCTCTCCAACTCTGTCACTCAAACACCATCTTTAGCATGATTGATTCCTCCCCGGACATACACAACATACACACACACACACACACACACACATAATCATATACACAACCGGTCTTTTTCTGCCTGTCTCACTTCCCTTTCTCAGTTGCTACACCCACCTTATTTATCGGCTCTCTCCTTCCTTTAGCAGATGTCCTTAGCCAGAGTACAAAGCCGTTTTGGGGGGACATCCGCTGCTCTGAGGACAAGCTGCAGGCACTTGATTAAGCAAGGAAATGGCAAAGTGAAACAGACTCAACAGCATTATTATTCCACAAACACATTGACTTCCTTACCCTGCTCATCCGGCCCGGCCTGTCACGTCCTCTGCTGTCCTCTGTCTGAGCCTCACAGTCGAATCTGTCCACAAACTGAAACCTGATATCAAAGCCTTCATGGGTAGAAGCCTTAGCCAAAACCACACTGAAATCTGTGAGGTTTTTTCAAGATATCTTAACTTGAAGTCGTTTTTTATTGATCTCTATTAAATACATTAGTTCCCCTAGAATTATTAAACAAAAAAAACAAATCTTATCATTTTTCTCATATAATAAACCCTGATTCATCTGGTGCTACCGAAAGATTAATTACATGTTTAAAAAAACTATGATTTGACCCTTCAATTACAGAAAGTGTTTCTTTTCCAGGTGGTTTGAGCCGTTTGTCATTCAGTGGCTTGATGAGAATGAGGACGTTGCCATGGATTTCCTAAATGGCGCTCTGGAAAGGGACAAGAAAGATGGAGTGAGTATAGCAATTAATTTTTTTTTTTTATATGTAGCTTTATATGTAACCAACCAAGCCACTTAAGACTGCTTTCTTATTCATAAGGACAGATGCTGAGACTGAATGTACCTCTTGAGGGTTTGGGGGATTAAGGAAATGTTGCACAAGACAAGAATATGAATGACATTTAAATTACGAATTGATAAAAACTGGGGGAAAACACTTTTTTCAGAGCAGTGAAAGGCACGAAAGGATATTAGGAAATAATAAAAGGAAATATGCATTAGCCTTATAAAAAATGTGGCACGGAAGTGATTTAAATAAATTGATGCATCTTCTATCTATGCACTTTACATACAGTATGTGATTTCCATTACCTAGAAAGTCCTCTAAACAAAGTAAACATTTGAAAACAAGATATGTTGTTTGTCAATCATACTGAATAAATGCAGAAATTCATACGGTTCCAGAGATAACTATATATCGATGTTAAACGGGTGTGAGTGTTAAATGTCATTATTGCACCTCAGCTGTTAATGACCATTCACACATAACACCTTCTGGTATAATTCTCAGTAAGTGGTCTTCCCTGTGAGCGATGGATTTATAAAGTAATTGATACAAATGGTCAAATGTTCTCTTCACTTTGCCTAATTGTTAACAAATCTGCTGTCTCTCTTCCTTCAGTTCCAGCAAACCTCGGAGCACGCCCTCTTTTCCTGTTCGGTGGTGGACGTGTTCACGCAGCTAAACCAGAGCTTCGAGATCATCAAGAAGCTGGAGTGTCCGAACCCGCAGGCTCTGGCTCACTTCATGTGCCGATTTGCGAAGGTCAGAGTCTTTGGAAAGCCCCTCCTTCGTCCCCCTGTGAACCCTAAACACTCCTGTGGGGAGTAATAACTCACGGTTAAATAGTTTGCCATTGATCTAAGGAGACTCAGTGGTATATGTATTTGATTTGATCTTATCTTGTTATTAGGTTGTGACTGCCTAAATCTTTTCAGTGTGTTCCAGAAATTCAATAAAAGAACGGCAAAACAAACTGTAATCACGCAATTGTTTCTCTCCCTCCCTACAGACTATCAACAAAGTTCTTCTGCAATATGCTGCAATCATATCCAAGGACTTTCCTTTGCATTTAAACAAGGAGAACGTGGTAAGTGACCTGCCACAGAGTTAATAACAAGGGTTGAGTGTATTTTGTTGCAGTGCAAATATAGTTAGTCAGATACTAATAGTGTTTCCATGTTTGTCTCTAACCGTGGTTTGCATGGAGAGAGCTCCAGATTTGCAGCCAACTCCCGCCTTTTCTAACAGACTTAATAACGTGTCTCTATTAACCAAGATGCAATTATTCATGTCACAGCCGTTAGCTGATTGAGAAAAGTCCCTGGTATTTTTCTGGGTTCTCTGTCCATTGTTAATGTGATGGATGACTAAATGCAGAGCCTTCTGAGTGGCCTAATTATCCTCACTGGTCTTTGAAGTTCAACTGAGAGATAGCACGCGGGGTACTGGCGGAGGAGGCAGATGTTTCCTCACAGTGTTGACAGGCTCATTACAATTGTCTCTGAGAAAACCTGAAATGTCCCTCCTCGAGACAGGGCTGAGCAGACAGATGATGGAGAGAGAAAAAAAGGTAATGAGAGGCAGATGGAGGTGGGATTATGTCAAGTTAAACCTAATCATTTGTTAGACTGGCACGTATAAAGAACATGAGCATATTTACCAAGAATATACTTTGTGTCTGTCTTTGCCCCAAAAACTGAAACATAGAGCAGTGTTATTATTAAAGATAATAACTTTTGTATTTATTCCATGAACCCCTCTTTTTCCGTTTTAGTCTATGTAGTCCCGAGTGATGTCACAGCGGCCTTTGGCAATTACCTAATACTGTACATACAAATATGTTTATCTTCTCTCAAACTAAACATATGTAGCTAAGGGATATCTCCTTTGTTTTAATCTAGATTTAGCATATTACCACTCTCCTATAGTGTATTCTCATCAATCTAGTAAGCTATTATGTGCTGCAGCTGAAACACTTTTGTCTGCTTTTTTGGTTTTCAAAAAACATCAATTATTGTTTTCCTGTGGGGCGCAGAATAATCACTTTAGTACCATCATTACCACGATCATAATTTTGGGTTTGTCAGTTGTTTTTTTGGGTAGATGATGTACATAATCTGTGACTGACTGAAAACTCTGAAGAATGAATCCATAAAAAGCAGTGTGATTAATGTCCAACAGCTGTTTAACTTGTTTTGCAGCTGAGAATCAATAAAGCCTGACAAACTCAGCGTAGACATTTCGCTCCCTGTTGTATTATGTATTGTATTTCCCTGTTGACTGACTGTCAATGTTGTTTCAGAAATCTAATATCTTTGTAAAAATGATTTGTCAGAAAATCAAAACTGATGGATTTGACGTTTTGTAACCTCCCGACAAAGTGTTGCAATTATAGGGTCTCAAGCTGACAAGTGTTACATTACAATAGCTGTTCAAAAAGAGAGAACTAGGCTTTTCTAGGATGTTTTTCTGACACATGTTGTTCGCTGTCCTTTCGGAGGCAATCTTGGTTAATTCATTCTTACACTCTTTCAGCCCTGCATCATCCTCAACAACATCCAGCAGCTCCGAGTCCAACTGGAGAAGATGTTCGAGTCCATGGGAGGCAAACAGGTCTGTGCCTAAGTGTGTATGTCTGCAGTGCCTTTGTCATATTTTGAGACAATTCACTTTCATTTCAATTGAGATTTTCTATTCTAATTTAAAAAAAAATAATTTCAAGGCAAACAAATTTATGCATTATTACAATGTAGTTCTTCAATGAACTGCATTCATCCACTGGAAGGTTAAAACACAAGGTTGGCTAAAGTGTCCTTTGGGCTTCAAAGGATTCAGTGTCTTTCTAAAGGACACTTCAGCAAGGTTACCGGTTCCTCTCGAGGGCTTAAGTCTACATCCTGGGATCAGCTCTCTGCTGTGGAATAAATGCTGTGTCATGTAAATGATCATTTGTGATGACATTTACATGAAGTGAAAGTGAATTGACCCCTACAGTGAGTTGCTGTAATCCTTCCCTCCAATCTCTACTAAACCATCTGATAGACTAATCTGACATGTAGTTCAGTTTGCCAGTGTCACCTTTTCCTACAGTTCCTAAATAACTCCCTCTGTACCCCATCACTGTTCCCCTACCTCTAACCACCCCCCCCCCTCCTGTGTATAACATGTGTTGTAAATATTGAGTGAAACCCTATAATTCTGTGTGTTTGATGTGAATCACCCGTGACTGTGTTCCTGTCAGTCGAACCTGAGAAGGTGAAGCATGTGTCTCCAGTTTCTAATGCCTGTCTCGCCTTGCGTTTTGTCTCCCGTCGTTGTGTCTTCTGTTTCCCCCCCGTTTCCTTTCTGTGCTCTCTCTCTCTGTCTCCAGGAGGAGGGGGTTGTGTCCTTCTGTAAGGTGTGTGCAATAGGACTCTTCAACACCCCTTCCCACCATTTAGCGAATGATACGAAACAGCACGACCCCTCCCCCCCTGTTGCTCCCTGCCACCCCTCACGCTCTTACGCTTTTCACCCCACTCCCCCAACCCCTCCAGCAGCATGTGCCACAGAGCATACGGAAACTGAATTACCCATCACCCCTCTGGACAGGCTGCTCAAGCTCACCATCCCCGGCACTCTGGGGATAGTGGCTCAACCCACCCGATGCCATCTTTATTTTTAGCTTGCTTTCTTTCCCGTCGTCCACTACTCTACCCACGGCTAATTTAGTAGAGCGATAGAGTTCGTTATTGTTCCCGATTTTTGACACAACCCAAAAAAGGGAGTCAGAGATTCGCCAAGATGCTGGTTGTGGTTTTGATCATCTCTATCCCATTCCCCGAGCTGCAAAATGCTTCAGACTGGATTTTTCAGACCGTGTTTAATGAGCTTCTCAAACACTTACTAATCCCTCCAGCTGTGTCCTCGGCTGAAGCGGTGCCACCTCCACACAGTTAGCCATTTTAAACCTGGATCACTCCCGGCCCATTATTGTCTGAGAGTAATGACACCAAGTCTTAACATCCCTTCAAAAAGTTAAATTATATTCATTGAAAATGGGAAATCATGTATTTGATTATATTCATTTTAAATAATTCCTCTTGAATACTAATCATACAGCCGAGTTGTATTAAAGGTAAAAGTTTGATATGAGTTTCCTCCTCTGCACAGTAGCCTATTCATTACAGAATAGTTCCCTATCAGCAATTAACTCCCAGAGAGCCAATGTAATTACCAAAAGCTGTTATCATCGCATTACCAATAACAAAGATTAGCAATAATCTCTTACAGTGCCCACATTTATGGACTGATTTCCCTAGATTGGTTTCGGACTTTATTTTTGGTGTCAGCCTGTTTGCTAATGTGTTTTTCTCACTTAAAGAGATGTTGGTTTAATAAACCTTTATTTACTTGGCACTGTTCAGGAACAACTATGTCTCCGAATAACAACCTGCCAGCGAGTAGATATTGTATTGTTTGAACAGGCAAAGGGAAGCAAAGCTGGGCTGTTGTTGATAGGCTGTCCGCCAGCGCAGAGTTTGTGCACTCTGGAGGACTCTGGATGTCAGTCAGCATCGAGTGAAAGTAGCTTTGGAGGAGACAGGTGCTCTATAGATTCTAAAATTGATGTTTTCCTCTTGCAGGAATTAAAATAAAGTACTTTTTATACATGCAAATTGAGCTAACTACCTTAGCCAATTACCTATCCGTAGTACCAAATATACCTTAATATAAGTAGTAATTATTACATTATTCTCCACATTATACCAAATCGTTTTCAGAAGATTTTATATTTTCGTCCTGAGAAATGCCTTACTTGGCAAGTCAGAGTACCTTTGAGTGAAAAGGCTTTTCAGAGAGGATTGCAGTCTTCAGGTGGACATTTGATTCGAGCACCAGTCATTTCACAGTCAGCACAGAATATTCGTCTCTCGGTAGCTGACAGGTGGCCTGATTTATCCAAGAGCAGAGCGAATTTCCCGTAGCAGCATGCCCATTTAGACAGTGACAATCACACAGTGTTCATGGGGAAAGAAATCTTAGTTTCAGAGACTGACAGGCTGCAGATTATAGCGCAGTCTTAAACTTTCCACAGACAAAGAGTAAATGATAAAAGGCCTACAGTATGTTTTGCTATCACCTGAAAATATGTTATCCGTTACTCAAAGCGTAAAAATCACAGCCCCGACATATATGGTCAATTTTCTCTGTGACAGGAAATCTTGCATGCTGCGATCTTTTCCACCGAGGTGACAGCAGTGGGATCGGTGCACATGCAAACACTAATAAATCTGTTTGTGCTTCAGATAGAGGCATGTCTGCAGAATAACACTATCTTTAAAAGGTTTAGTTTACTCATCAGTTTCCCAGCTGAGCCATCCGCAATGATAAGGTGCGAGATGAGCGGCTCCATGGCTAAGCTGATCGGTTCTAATATGACGATCTGTCATGCATGTGGTGCGGTGCCTGGCCTCACATCCATCTCAGGCACTGAGCCCCAGCAACGTGTGTTCTCCACCCCCATCCAAAACATTAATGTTTGGACATTTGGTCATGGTGAACGTAATTCATAAGCCCTGAGACGAACAGTGTACACAGAAGCACTCATTCATGCAGTTACTCACACACACACACACACACACACACACACACACACACACACACACACACACACACACACACACACACACACACACACACACAGCACAAATAGTGGATCTCCACTCATGCATTCTCTCAGAAAATGCCCAAAACCACAGAAGTACACAAACATTTGCACATCCATCACATGCATAGAGATAGTGCTACAGAAACCCAACACATGCCATGCATGGACACATACATGCTGTCCATCAATTTTGCAAGTATATTTGTGTAAGTTGGTATGGAAAATTGTTCATTGCAAGGTCATGTCTAATCATAATTTGTATCATACTATGATTCATGTATGGTTAATGATGTTAAGGCAAATAGTTCATGGATTCGATGCTTGTCCCACAATTTAATTACAGATAATTAAACACCAACACTCCTTAATATTAAACTAAATATTACAGAGTTGCTCACTCCAGGAGTGTATTGTGAAACACTTGCAGGAACAATTCCTGAACACAAAAGCTCAGTCAGAGGATTTCTGTATCAGAACTTCTGCAGATACAAGGATTTATGTTTGTATAAGAGCCAGCTTAATATGACTAAGATGTTACAGTGTCCAAGGTGTCTGACAGCCGACTTTCTCTACTGTACCTTGTGTAGTAGTGCACACAAATATTCCCTTTTGAGAGACCACTAGCTGGCTGCCTTTTTGCTGACATCATGTCTTGTGACTCGGCAAGCAGTCATCATTGCAGCGCTCGGAGGTGAGCCGTCCATTTGTATTCAGGGCATCTCTCGGCACAGATGGCAGGCAGAACGAGAGGGAGGCCACCAGCGAGGCAGGTTACCTCTCCTCTGTGCTTGTCGGCTCCCCCCTTAACACCCGGCACCCCCACCGCATTTGAGGCAGAGATTCAGAGCTCTAGTCAGCGTGAGCTAGTGTATGAAGTGTAATGATGTAGTAACTGTCCTTCTTTCTTCACAGCTGGATGCAGAGGCCAGTGATTTGCTGAAGGAGCTGCAGAATAAACTCAACACGGTGCTGGATGAGCTCAGCGGAGTGTTTGGCTCCAGGTGTGCATTAATGTGACTTAACATCTGTGTGTGTGTGTGTGTGTGTCTGTGTGTGTCGACTACACAACTGCTTAGTTATCAGCAATGAATATAATTGACTTGAACTCTTGCTGTGCACAATGCTTAATAAGCAAAAAAAGTTACGAAGCATTTTATCTTGTACAAAAATCGTCCCCTGCCTCTAACACCTTTTTCAATAATATTTTAGGACCCACAAGAATGAGTTACGATCTCCTTAAAAGTGCTCTACAAAAACGAATGGATATTTAAAAACAGATGTTACAAAGTGCTTCCTAAGACAATAAAAGCTGATAAATGAAGCACATGTTAAAACAATAACTCTTAAAACATATCAGTACATATCAAACATAAATCAAATCAAATCAAGTTTTATTCATATAGCCCATTTTTAAATGATTTTTGGTCGAGCCAAAGTGCTTTACATATAATAGAAATACCCTACAGTAAAGACAACAGCACAGTTTGTGCAGAATATCAGTATGAGAAAACGACACCCTCTGTCCTTAGACCCTCACATCGTACAAGGAAAAACCTCCGGAGAAAAACCACAGTTTAAAGGGGAACATGGGAGAAACCTCAGGGAGAGCAACAGAGGAGGGGTCCCTCTCCCAGGACGGAGAGACGTGCAATAGATGCCGTGTGTAAATCGAAGAGATAATACATTTGACAGCGTAGGTAGACCGAATGTTAGGAAATGCATGTGTCTGTAATAAACGTAAACGTAACATGTATCTACTAATGCATACACACAAACAGACAAACACAGACATTGTATGTATGGTACATTTAACGTACAGTATATGCTGTATACCCATTCACACGTTTTCACCACACCCTGTAATAATAACTGCATGTATACGCATTGACATATACAGTTTGGAAGTCCAAACTCAGGAGTGAACTTCTGCTGCAGTGTTTAATATTAAACCAGTAGCAAAAGATTTCAAGGACTGTTTTTTTTCCATCTCACAGTTTCCAAGGTGTGATAGAGGACTGTGTGAAGCAGATGAACCAGGAGCTGGTTCAGATGAAAGGGCCGGCCAAAGGAAGCAACGCTGCCATGGACGCAGAGACCGTCCTCAGACCTCTTATGGACCTCCTGGATAAAAAGTGAATATATACTATATTATATTTGTAGCTGTTTGTTACTGTTGTCTTAAGTCTGTGCAACCCTCTTTTGTAGAGCAATTTAAAGTCATGAATTCAGTTCATAGGCTCAGCCATCCGTTGCCATGAAGGTTGAGAGCTTTGGCCTTGAAGTGATGTTTAATAATTCTTCACCTGGTGAAATGTACTCAAGATGTGTGAAAGGAAGGAGTGTGGATGGTTTGGCTCAAACCTTTAAAAGTGACGTGTCCAGTGGGCGAACAACAGCTGTCTTGTATCTATTATTTTTGCAAATGAATGTTATCACTTTACTGTTATACTCCTATGTTATTCTCTTTGCACTCAAAACGTTCCTGCTGCTTGTTATAGCGCCTGATAAAGCAATGTTTCTTTAAGGAAAACCTACATCCCTGCCTCTTCTTCAAACTAGCTGGTCTCAAAGTTTAATTGGATTAAATTAGTATTCCATCCGAGAATGTGTCTTTCAACATTTTTCATTTAAGTGCATGGAAAGAACGATGATTAATCCATCCTCACCCACGCAATTGTCAGACAAATGTTAAGGCTACGCTTGGTTCCCTCTCAGCTAAACAATGTTAGCTCTGTGAACACTGTTGCCTTTGTTTCAAATATTTGGGATGTTAGCATAGTAAGCTGCTAGTTTTAAGTTATATGCAAGTGTCCTGCATCATTGATACTGTATGCCCTCAATTCAATATTAAGAACATTAGGCGCGTTCACACCAAGTACTTTTCCCACAAAGGTTCCTGAGAACTCTTTAGTTCTCATGAACTAAGTACAGATCGCGTTCACACCGGAAATTAGTTCCTTGGGGTGGATTAGGCAAATGAAGCCGCTGACGTCACTTCTTCTTCTTCTGCTTTGGGTTTACTGGCAGGCCGCAAACAACTTCACGTCGTATACTGCCGCCCAAAATCCCCGGCCGGAAGTCCCCGGAGTTGGGGACTGGCTTCAGTAGAAGCTGCTGGGACTCCCAGCAGCTTCTACTGAAGCCTTCCGAGTAAACGGCCAGAACGCCGACACCTCCTCATCTCCACCGCTCCCATGTTTTATTTTGTGTTGCCATAAGTTAGTCTCTCTGCATTTCTGCGCTGGGCTAATGCTAATGCTAATAATGCAATGCAAGGATAATAAAATGGCGGCTTCACAAAAGTTTTTGGGAGTTTGACGGGGCGTGGTTTGCATTCCGCCCAGCCAATCAGACACAGGAACCTTTTTCTCCCACGAAAGTCCCTGCTCTCTAGCAGGGAC